TGAGGCCCAGCACCGCCCCCTTCCCTCCTCCGCGGGTGCCCGACCCCGGCCTGCTCCGGAGCGCCCGGGCGGAGGAGCCGCAATGAAAGCCCAGGGCAGTGCTCAGCTGCAGCCGGGCACCCTCCCTCTGCTCCCGGCTCAGTCCCCCGCGCGGAGCGGGCTAGTCCTCCCGCTCCACCCCAGCCATCTCCTGCCTCCGTCCCCGAGCGCTGCCCGCGGTGTTTCCCCAGCCTGGGCAGCGAGCGGCGGACAGGGCCCCGCTGCTGCTCCGAGGGAAGCGCTGGGAGGCCGAGGTGGGAGCGGCGCTTTGCTGGCTTTTCGGATACAAAGCTGGAGTTTCTGTCCGGAAGAATAAAGCACGAGAGCGTCTGACCCGCTTCGAGCTTTTCAGGGCAGCGTGGGGCCATTATCCCGTGTCGGTTTGTCCAGGGACTAGTCACCGAGTCACACAACAGGGGGTCAGCCCTGTTCCCTTCCCCTGGATTTATGCCTGAGTCCCATCTCCTTTGAGTGGGCGGCGCTGCCCGGGGGGTGGGCCCGTGTGACCCAACACATGCTCTGAGGGGAACCGAGGGCTGATGCCTGCCGCCCAAGAGGGCTGACCGAGGGGTGGTGTAACACAGCGCACCCGTGGAGTGTGCTTTTTCGCTCCCTCTTGGAGGACGGGGCCTGGAAGAACTAGCTGCAAGAAAGGAGCGTCTCCTACACAGCTCTGAGGAAACCAGCCTGCTTGTTTTTTGTGTCTTACACAGCCAAAGAGAGGGTGTGCCGGGTTTAGACTTAAACACGTGGTTTCTGCTCTTCCCAAACTTGTGCTACTTGGCAAGTATGAATCATCCCAAAACACTTCAGGAGACAGCCCTAAACTAGACCTGTCAAATAAAATCAGATTTTTTAAAAGTAAAGATGTTCTTTCCCTTTAGTAGTAATTACATGACCTAGGAAGCAAGATTGAAAAAAAATTGGACTGTTTAGTCTAAAATAGAGACGACTGAAGGGGGCATGATGACAGTTTTCAAGTGCCTAAAAGGTTGTTACAAGGAGGAGGGACAAAATTGTTCTCCTTAACCTATGAAGATAGGATAAGAAGCAATGGGCTCAAATAGGGTAGTTAAACAATGGAATAAATTTCTTAGGGAGATTATGGAATCTCCATCATTGAAGATTAAGTGCAGTTTATACAAACACTTGTCAGGGATGATCTACATAGTGCTTAGTCCTGCTATTAGAGCAGGGGACTGGACTAGATAACCTCTTTAAAGTTCCTTTCAGACCTATGATTCTATTAAATTAGATAAGTAATAGTTTAAGACTGATATAGTGATTTTCATAATCAAAATGTGTTACAAACATCAGCTAACCATTCAGGTTAGTGGAGATGTAAAATTTCGATTACCTGACTAATTGAATAGTCAATGCAATTTGCATTGACTATTCAATTAGTCGATAAGGGCACCTCTGCCTTTGAAGAGTAGCAACAGCCCCAGAGCTGCTTCTACATCAAAGGTGAAAAAGCTGAGGGGAGCGTGGACTCAAGCAGTCCACCATTGGCCCCGTGCCCCCCAAGGCGTTTCAAAGCGGCAGCGCTTCATGGAGCCCGGAGTCAGTGGGGGAGCCCCCAGCTGGGGATCCAGGGCTGCATACAGTGTTCCAAGGTGGCAGACTCTAGGCTCCACATGAGGTGGAGGAAGAGACTAGTCAATTAGCGTGTCGACTATCCGATAAGCATTTGCTTATCCAGTATGATCCAAGAATAATCTTTTTCAGTAAGACACTCTGAGACAATTTTTATGTGTGTCAGTTTTAATGGAACTAGGAAGCTTTTTAAATACAGGATTTTAAATACACTAACATGTAATTTAATATTTTTATTGTCCTGGAAATTAATATTTGCAAAAAAAAAGTGCTGGGCCTAAATTCATAATCAGGAGTGTGGTGTCTAGGCTCTGATAGACTGCAACCCAGTTAATTAGGCCTGCTATTATGGGAAAGTTCCCCAAACAGCTATCGCTGTAAAGTAAGGGCAATTTCACATGATGGGCAGCAAGTTCAATGGACCAGTGGTGCCTGGGCTCCAGGAATATTTCTGGCCCAGGATGTGGCTCCAGTAGAGTTTGGGACTGGGCCTCTCCACCAATTCCACCTCCTGTCCCCTGTACTCCCCCCTGCCATGACCTATAATAGCTTGGGGGCCCTTGCGGCCACCACCAGCAGCTCAACATGGCTAGAACAGCTTCCAGCTGCTTGTTTTGAGCAGCTGCTGGCATATCCCTTGCATGGCCCTCATGCTGCCCTCACTCCAAGCGCTCCTGAAGCCAATGGGGATCAGCAGGGACGGTACGTTCAGGCAGCACAGCATACAACCCCCACCCCACCTAAAGCTGGTGCCCCAGGTATGTGCCCCACGTATGTGCTGTATCCCAGCCCCTCATCTCACATCTCTTACCACATCTTACCCCCTCCTAAAAACTGCACTCCCACCCTCTCCCACTCCCAAATTCCCTCCCACACTACCCTTCCTCCAGCCTCCAAACTCCTTCCCAGAGCCTGCATCCCCACCTGCACCCTCATCCCAAAGCCCACACCCCTCCCCCATCCCAACTCCCTCCCAGAAGCCTTAGGCAGGTGGGAGGGGGGGAGTTGGGGAGGGATGCAGACTCTCAGGCTTTGTCTACATTGCTGCTTTTGCAGCAAGAGCCTATGCAAATGAAGCATGCATTAGCATATCATTGTACTTCATTTGGATAATTTATTCAAGTCGTTTTCGCGCAAAAACAAGCAGTGTGGATGTGTTTTTTTGCGCAAAAGCCCGTTTTGCGCAAGATCTTTATGCCCCCAAAAAGGAGGTATACTGATCTTGTGCAAAACAGGGGTTTGGCGCAAAAAACCCATGTCCACAATGCTTGTTTTTGTGCAAAAAACCCTTGTGCAAAAACAGCTTGAATAAATTATACAAATGAAGCACGTCGATATGCTAATCCATGCTTCATTTGCATAGGCAGGGCTCGACAGATAATACAATCTACTCGCCCATGGCGAGTAGATTGTAACCCAGAAGAGCCGGGTTTGGGTGATCTGCTCATGCGCAGAACAATCTGAGCATGTGCAGATCGCCGGACAGCACGGCTGACAAGCGGGGCTTGCTGCGGTTCGGCGAGCCCTGTGCACAGGCACTGCCGGCCGGCAGTGTAGACGTAGCCTCAGCATTCTGGGCACCATCAATTTTTATACAAACCAGCTGCCTCTGCCTCACATGTGCCAATCCTCTCTCCCAGGCAATTGCTGTGCTGCAGGGATGCTGCCAGTTGTGCACTTGCTATGGTGGTGACCATATGCCTTCAGATTCTAGGTGGCAGGACCCTTCTTCCCAGCAGCACCCCACACACACACTCCATTGGGGTTATGATCTCACCCAGGTCTGGCCTGCAAGGCTCCTTGGCTAGTGATGTGTCTCTGCACTGGGCCCTCTGCCCAAGGACTCTCTCCCTCTCCCCAGCTGCTTACTGCACCTGGCTCTGGACTGTTCCAGCCCCAGCTGCTGCTCTGCCTTCAGCTCCCAGGGCTATTCTGGCTCTAGTTGCTGCAGCTCTCCTCCCAGCACAGATCTGCTCTCCATGCTGCTTTTATAGCTCTTGCTGCTATGGTTCTAACCTGCTCCTTCGCCCAGCCCCATTCTGGCCCAGGCAGTTCCAGCTTACAGAGAGGATGTCTGCTTCCGCACTCCCTCCTCCCTCATTAGCCACCCTGCCCTATCAAGCAAGCTGACCTTAGGGAGCATAGGCTCCCCCCACTGCCCTAAGGACTGTTAGTCTCAGGGTCCTAAATTCCCAACCACCCTTCCTCTTTCTTTTGGTACTGGGAGCTAGCCAACCAAAAACCCTCACTTAGTTTTAGTAAGGGGCCAACAGTCCACTTACATTTAGCTTGCTTTAAAAAAAGTCACAGAGCAATTTATTTTTATATTTTAACTGTGCAGGACCTCACTTCTCAGCTGTATGGGGTTAATTTATAAAATTATTTGCATTGTTGCTAGTTTTTTAATTGAAAGAATTACAGACTTATGCAAGGTGGAAGCAAGTCCAGAGGATTTCTGCAGTATAGGTGTCTGCTCCTTTCCCC